TTTCCAGACGATGCCAACACCGCAGCTTCTTGATCTGATCTAATTGGAGGAGAAATATAATGCTCAGGACCGATACTGTCTATAGTCATATTAAGAGCATAGTTGTTTATTCTTCTTTCATAGATCACGCTTAAAGGGGGTACACCTTGCAACATTAGGTCAACGTGTATTTCATCCTCAACGCATAGATTTGAACTTGATTTTAATACAAATTTTGCCATTGGACAATATACTATAGTTACATCTCTTTTATATATCTTTATTCCCATTCCATCATGATCTAATGCCTCTTCAAGTTGATATACACCCGGCTGGTTAACTGGAATATTTACATATTCTAAATGATCACCATGAACTACATCGGTCATACGATGCTGTTCGATCTCTTTTGAATAAACATCATGCATAGTTCTATCACCCGTTTCAAAATCCAATCTTGAATAACGAATTGAATTTGGTGATGTTTTATTGAACAAAATTAATAATTTAATTGCGGGCTTTTTCCTGGAATTTGATCTTGGTAAACATAGCTTATCATCGTCCGGATTCAACTTGGCAGTAGCATAAGGTAAAAGACGAACACTATGCTTGCCGACTATGTGAGATTTATTATATCTTACAACTATAATTTTAAAATAAATTCTATTAATATTCGTAATAGCGATTAATGATCTAAAATCAGAATATAATACCGTCAATTAAAATATCTTCTTCTTTGCTTATCGCACGGACTTTCTCGCCTTTTAATCGGATATATTGATTCCGTACTAATGGTTAAATTAAATTAATAAAATGCAACTATCAATATAAAACAATAAATTCTATTAAATCACTATCGTTAAACACCAAATCAAATTAATAATGAAAATTTTGAACCTACTAATCATATAAAATGAATTTAATAAATCTAATATGTGCTTTGATAAACCGACATCATAAATCTTTAGTGAATAGTTGAAACAGAAGAGATTCGATAATTAGACGCGTAAAAGTTTGAAAATTCGAAAATGAAACTAGATATGGTTTATGCTAACCCAACGAGGTTGAAGTATAGTTGCATTGATCACAAGTGAAACGAAAAAACAGAATATCCAGAACCATAGAGATTTTTGAAGCCATGGTACTCGAAAGAAATATAAGCCAATGAAAAACAAGGCGTCCAAAATGCACCATTTAGTTAATATTCCAAGCAGTGATACTGCCTCATTAGAATAAATATAATAATATCCTTTAAACGCTAGTATCGCACAGAATATTGCC